AGGATTGAGCCTGCAAACCAGTCATGTGCCCATGACCGGAATCGAACCTGGGACCCTTCAGTCTGCAGGCCGAAGCTCTATCCACTGAAACAAACTGGCTAGGGCTCATTACTTTTTTTTTTTATCATAGTCAATGTCAGCAGTTATTAGTGTTCTCTTTCTCTCTCTCTCTCTCTCTCTCTCTCACTCTCTTTTTTACCCCTCTCTTTTGAAAAATATTTTTTTATTGAATTTAGAATGGAAAGGAGAGGTAGAGAGAGGTGGAAACTCAATCAGGAGAGAGAATCATTGATCAATGACCTCCTGCACACCCCCCACTGGGGATCCAGTCTGAAACCTGCAGTGTGAACTGACTAGGAATCCAACCCTGCCCTCCTGGTTCATAGGTCAGCACTCTACCTCTCAGCCACACTGGCGGGGCTATAATTCTCTCCTTTGTCCCAGAGCCTTCTCTGCATTCATTTCATGCAGCCTCCCCAGATCAGGAAGCATTCCTTACCTTTAATTAGTGACTTTTAACTACTATAAACACACCTTCTGTGACAGATCAAACTAAAATCTATACTGTGGATTTGTGGACATGTGTCATCCTCATGTGTCAGTTAGAAAACACATCAGAGAATGTTATTGGGGCATAGTGATCTTACTGGATAATTCAGAATATCCCCTAGGTCTAAACCTCTTCCGACACTGTTTTCTTGTTGGCTAACATTGTGAACTCTTCTGGTGGCCTCTTGGTAAATGTCTTTTTTTTCAGGGACCATTGACCTTCAGGGATGTGGCCATAGATTTCTCTCAGGAGGAATGGGAATGCCTGGACCCAGCTCAGCGGAAATTGTACCTGGATGTGATGTTGGAGAACTACAGCAACTTGGCCTCCCTGGGTGAGGATGACTTCCTTCCTGACTTCCTACTCTACCCCTAGGGTTTTGTTTCTTTAATTTTAACATCTCTAAGGGCTTCTGCTTTCTATGGTAAATTCTTGCTCTCAAGGAACAAATTGCACCCTAGCTGATTTGGCTCAGTGGATAGGCTCAGTGGCCTGCAGACTGAAAAGTCCAAGTTTGATTCTGGTCAAGGGCTAATGCCAGGGTTGCCAGCTCACTCCCCAGTAGGGGGTGCAGGAGGCAACATCAATGA